ACGCGAGCGTTGACATTAATGACTATTAGCATAAGACGTGATAACCCAGTGAGAAATAATTCGTCTATCGATGTAGAAACGATGTCGTATCGATATCGACGCCTTAAAATTGATGTCGAATCGACGTCTTTTCGACATCGATCGACGAGTCACTTCTCGCTGGGAAGTGATGCAGGGGCTCGATCATGAATCTTTTCCTCTGGCGTGAACTCGTGGAAAGTGAAAATTTTCATTAACAAGTTCAATATTCGTCAATGAACTTTTCCAGTTTTCACTTCACGCTGGAGGAAAAGATTCCTGATCGAACCCCAGACCTAGAATCATCCTGGATGTACCGTGGAATGACCAGGGAACTCGGGAGCGTCCTGGACTAGTTTGGGATGGTTCCAGGACATTCTGTACAGTACGGGTAATTGCAGAAATTGCCTGGCGTAAAGACACAGAGAGTAAGCGGCGGTCCATTCGGAAGACATCGATAAATATCTTCCCACGTGGAAAGATTCACGCGGCCGGCGAACGTTTCGGGCTCTCGGTGTAGCGAGACCCGCGGAGAGATCGTTCGAAGTAGGTACACACGTCGATCGACGCGGCGCATCTGGTCACGGCCGATTATCCGCGAGCGAGAGGAGATCTCTCGACGATTCCCCGAAGACAATCGCTTCGTGGGCGTTTATTACAAACACCAGCCGAGCGTGCCGATTCGCGGTGTCTACCTATACGCGCCCGTAATTTTGGGTCACTGAATCGCTGACTTTCTTCCGTCGTTTCTTTCACCGCCCGGGCACGACGCAGGGTAACGCGAGGGAACAGGAACACGCGGCGTAGAGTGCATTCGCCAAACCTTGACGAAAGGAACCGGCCGGTAATTACGACGAGTGCGGGATAAATCTTCGTCGCGCCCGGCGCTCAAGACGCGTGTTACGGCAACGTGCGATCGCGAGACGCGGTGCACCTGACGCGCTTTATTCCACCTATTGTAGAACGAGGATAAATCGTGGAACAAGACCTTGACGAAATTCAATCGAGCAGAATAACGGCGCGCAAACTGTGCGACCTATTGAGGGGTCACGTAAGAGTTATCGGCAGGTATTTTGAAGAAATTCTGACACTCGAACTTCGTGAACTTCGTACTCGCGTTTAAGAATAAATAATTTACTGGCTGTCTTCACTATTGCTTGAGACATAAGGGAAATTGTTGGTTTTGTGGAAACAACGTTAACCAAAATTGAAAATTTATCTGCATCAAATTTTGTTTCAGTCCTTTACTATTTTTCTTAAGCTTTAGGGGATAGGAAGACTCAACGAGGGTCGCTCAACGGAGCACGATACTATTTTTCCTACTGGATCGCTTACGGCAGCCAATCCGAATTTAGCCTTAAATCACCTGATCTAAGACTCTACATCCTTATTGATTCTCGTAAGCGATCCAGTAGGAAAAATAGTATCGTGTGCCGTTGGCTCAACACTTTAACTCATGCATGAAAATTATAAATGAAATACATGGAAAAGAACTGCTCCTCTAAAGGTTAATCAGTCATTTATTTTAACGTATAAAAATGATATGCATGAAAGTATAAAAAGATTATTAAATCTTCTCCCTATACAAATTGAAACGACTAATTTTTATTATACTTTGTCGCTACTAGTGGTAAGAAATTAATGGGTCAATTGTTGTCTAAAGAACGAATGAGTCGCGAGCACACAAAGTTTGCAACACCATCGGAATAGAATACCGCGAAGTTCGCACAGGGATTACAGAAAGATCCCGAGAGAGACGCTTCTGCGTTTCGGTGCGATAAACTTTACAAACGATAAAAGAAGCGAGATACACCGAGATTCGCGCGAGCTGAAAGAAAGTTTCCAGCTTCTTTTTTGGAGCGTTTTAATCGAGCTTGTCTCATCCCGCTGTGTTGCAGGAAAGAAAGGAAATTTTCGTTCTCTTAACACTCAGTTAATATCGTAGAAGCGGCGAATAAATGCTAATAAGACACTGTCAACAGTCGCTCGTTTTTAATTTCTAATATTCATGGCTCGAAGGAGGATCAGAATTTCTAGGGCGATCCGTAGATTCGGGATCTTAGTGTGTCAGTGTGTCTATATGCTAATCGGCCCGGCGATGAGAAGTTTAACGTTGTAACATAGCCTGGCGTGCACGTGCACGCTACCTGACGCCTAGGCTCACGCACACGCACGCGCGTGTCATATGTAAATTCTGATATACACGAGATCCCTTGACGCGCGATCGTACTCGCGTTAAGCTCCTCTTCGAACGGTAGAAAGTAGTCTCGTACCACCGGTATTCACGTCGCTGCGCGCGGTAACGTGCAATCGCGAAATGATCGCGAAAGTAGAGGAGCCGTTGCAGGACTCGGCAAAAATTTGCCTCCCAGCGGTCGAAGCCGCGCGTCGTGTCAAAAAAATTACATCCAATTAGCCACGTCCTAGCAGTTGTCAAAAAAAAGCGGCTCATAAATATGGAAACATGGTAATCCGAGAGCATTTATTATGACGTTCCGTCAGTCATTTTACCACCCTGGGATCTACCATAAAAATTTAATCTTGCCCCAAATCGTATCTCGCGATATTATAACCGAAAACACACGTAGACACGCCGTTGCCTCGGCCAGTCGTAAAATAAACCGGCTTTACTCGCGCGCTTGATAGCGCGATGGTACGAAAAAAATTCACCAGAAGAAGTGGACGTCGTCTCGTAAAATAGCGGAGGCGCGAGGCTCGCGAGAGCAGCTGCTCTCTTTCGCTTCGGCTTAAACTACTTTTCACTAAAATTAGCCATCCCCGCGGAATGGTACCATTTCACGCAGCATTCACGCGGTAATACGACCAAGGACCGGATGCGCTAGTATCGCTCTAACGCCGTTTAACTAAATTTTCTCCGTCTCTCCGCGGCACGGTTGCATGTAGGTCTGCAATTTAAAAAGGGATAGCGAGCCGCTAACCCGGGATTAGTGAACCCAGACCGTCGCTCAGTCCACGAATCCACGGCGAAGGATGGTATTTAGCAAAGTAGGTATCTATGCCTGGCCGTAGCGTATGCATCTCACGGCGAGCCGGTGAAATGTTAGAGGCACTCTTATCGCGCCGTGAATTGTAATTCTCGCAGGTTGCACAATACCGCCACGTTTCCTCGTGTCATCCCGTTAATTCGCGTTCATCGAAAACCCTTTCTTCGCGTAATTGCGCGCGCCGAACCCGGATTTCATTTTAAATAACTGACACGCGATCCAGATATTTTCGACTGATAGAAACTTCTCCTTTGTTTTTTGTAGCGATGGTTTCGGACGAACTTAATTGATCTTTTTTCGTCTCGACGGGCACAAGGCTTGCAAAAAATTGCGAGACTGGAGGTAGCAATTCGATGCAAAAACCGCCAAAGAAAATTAATCGTCATCGGCAATTGTTCAATCATTGAACTAGCTCGCGCGTACTAAAAACCGCGCACACTTTCTCTCGGAGGGAAGGCGTCGCGTTATTCATCGACGATCAGAAATGGAAAAACCGACTCATTGCCCGATTACGTTGACGTCACTAAAAAGCGCTCCATTTTCGCTTTTCTAACATCGGCGCGATGACGACGTCGTTAAACCAGTCGGACACGCTCACTTTCACCACCCACGCGCGTCAATTTTCTGTACCGGCCGACCGCCTACCGTCACGCATTTGCGTGACAATGATTCACCGTCGCAACCCCATTTCCACTCGGTGAATATTTCTCCTCGCATTCCTGCATCACCAGCTTGCCGTTCGCCGTAAAGGTCGGCGGCAAGAAACAGGGAGATTTAAATCCAGGTCGTGTCGCTTCTCATCGGAATTTATCGCAAAACCAAGTTTAATCCTTTCACGGGCCGTCCCATTCTTTCCGGAGCTTAATTAGCGAAGCGCCCTTTATTTCTCGTTCCTTCGAGAAACGTACCCGCGATCGTCTCACGGCGTACTTGTCACGGAGAAATCGCGCGTGTCGGTGAAGTAACCCGTTCACGAAAGTATAAAACGGCGCGTTATAATACTTTCGGTACGTATTTTTAATCCGCGCACACGAACGGGTGAAAGGGACGATAATTCGTCGCTATTCTCATACCGCGCCTCTCGCATGACAATATCTATAAGCAGAGCTACCGCCTGCTTTCACTTTTCACTTTTATCGCTTCGCCTCTCGCGCGTCTCGGCGACACGCGACGACCGCCGGATGTCCGGATATAGAATGACGTCAATGAAAGTTACGGTTACGAAATTATTTCTCGAAAGTCCCGCGACGCGGGCCTTCGAGGTAATCGAAATTTACGTCACGCGGCTACGAAGTGATGCAATCGATAAGCTGTGCAGCGTTCTCGAGAACCAAAGCATCCGGGTTCACGCTCCATAACGAGAAACGCTGTAAATGACGTGACCAATCTGGATTTTGATCAAATCCTCCTCCTCGTAATTGTCGTTAGAAATGGCCCGGCATGGGTTTCCATTGGGCCGATCCATGGTAATAAATGGGAAGCCATGGTATCTTCGGGGAAGATCCATGGCATCTTCGGGGAAGTAGACACTAACAAGTAACACTACCCAACTATTACTCACCAATTTGACTGAAACTTGACACACTTATTGAACACCAAAAAATATTGGAACACGTATTTTTTTGTTTCGGCTAATTGCGCAATTTAGGGATAGAAATCATCCCTCGACCCCTAGGGATGGGAATTGTTACGGCGAATTATTTTCGGAACGATACATTTTGCGAAAAAATGCTTGGAACAAAAGTTTTGGGGTTCATCAGATTTTGATCAAATCCTCCTCCTGGTAATTTTTGCTAGAAATAGCCCGGCATGGGTTTCCATTAAACCGATCCATAGTAATAAATAGGGGTGCATCTTCGGGGAAGTAGGCACTAAGACGCGCCACTTATTAACCCAGCGTCACACTAATTTGTGATTCCTGATTCGCAGAAATTCGTTGGACATTCGTTATTACTTACCACACTATTCGTGATTCGCAATTTATCATCCGTAATTTATTTGTCGTTTCGTTCGTGTTAACTTGGACAACTTTTAACCTTTACCTGTTTTTACAGGACGTGTATCATAAGTCTACAGTTGGTCAAGTTTTAATATTAGTAAAAAAATCATTGCGAACGGCGAATTTTTCCTCCACATTATTCACGATTATACGAATCACAAATCGCGCATAGTGTGGTGCTGGCTTTAATTTCCGGCGAGGAAAATAACGGGCTAGGAGTAGACCAGTATTCGCACCTGGGACCTTCCAGGACGAATGCTCATCCGACTGAGCATCGTCTTTAAAACGTTTACCGGTCGACAATTATGTTACTTTTCTCGCAAGGTGAAGAAGCACCGCGTCGTCGCTCTATCTTCTCGTCAAGCAAATCGAATTTCTCCGACAACGGGTACGCCCCTGGACTCACTTTCACCGGCTGCATCCTACGCATCCGGAATGGTCGAGATTGTACAGGTAAATAGGATAACAGACGCGATACGCTCCTTCCTCTTCGACGCCTTTCATTCAGGATCACATTAAGTGGAGCTCGCTCCTTTATAAGAGGAAATACTCGAGAACGAGTGAAGATTGCGTCGGGATTATTAAATTCTTCTGCCTTTTCAGTCGCGTTATACTTACCGCGCTTCAGATTACAGTGCAAAGGAATAGTTGCCAGGCAGTCATCTCGCGCTGTCATCTTATTACAGACCTGCGCTCGCAGGAAGCGGACTATTAATCTTGCCGTTGTCGTTTATGTCACAGAATAATCGATTGCAGTTTTAACGTACCGCGCTGCAACGTGTGACTTCTTGTCGAGGCATCGGGTAAATAACAATGTATGTACAACGCTGATAGTGTCCTGCATTTTTATTTTAATGTCACAAGTGTACATAAATTAGGTAAAATGAAAGGGAGTACGTCAAACATAATTAAATCGTGTATTGCTGAAACACCCTAAGTCCCTTTTTGAAAATTTTCAGGAGATGAAAAAACTTTCACGTCTGTTTGCAGCAATATTTTTAGAAAATGAGTGCTGCACTTAGTTGACAATGACACATTTTATTTTACATGTAGGAAAGCAAGTAACATAATGTTGGTAACTTTGTAAAAATTAATTTTGAAAATATTGACTTAGGGGCTTGCTAAAATAAACAACCAGATTTAGCAATTAACGTTTATTTAAAAAAAGACAAATTATGGGAACACAAAATATTAGAAAAATAATACTTATTCTTTCTAGGCTGCTTAGTTCCATGATATTTAATTATGTCCTAATATAGAAATTGATGTTCTTCTGGCACTTACCTTAAAAGCAGCTTGAAATTTTCGATTTTAGCTTCCAGCAACGGTAGTCTATTAGTGTATGCTTGTTGCTCTGATAATTGGATACTTTTGTATTTTTTGGTGACATGGGTAAACGTAGATTAGTAAATGTACACATGAGTCCATTTATGCATTCAGAAGCCTTTAGAATATCAGATGTGTCATATTTAAAATACGCAAACAACACTATGGAGTATAGGAACTTGAGGTGTTTCACTAAACGATGCAAGTTGACCTAAATTGCAATGTGTGCGTCAAAACTCAAAAGTGTCAAAAAGTGATTTAGGGTGTTTCGGCAATACACGATTCAATTACTTATCTCGAAACACCCTTCTGTAAATTCCCGCAACCCCGAGTCTGAGTCTTTCGCAGATCTCGAGAAAGATCCGCCGGCCTGGTCGAGGATATCTCTGCTCGCGTTACTCAGTTTACAACCCAGTGAAACTCTTACGGCGATAATTATATTCCTCCCGTGACGGCGGATAAACTCTTAGCATTACGCCGTTACGACTGTCATTATGCTACAATGATTACCAGTATTTTCTCCCGAGCATTATACGGGAACGAGCTTATGAATCGCCAATATGGTGCAAAAATTAAGCGCACTTAAGCGTCCCGCATCTCCTTTTTCTACGCATCGCTCACGCATCGCTCACGCATCGCTGCTGCGATCTTCAAGGAAACTTGTCGTTTGAAACACAAAACGCCCTTCCCCCTTGAAAATGTTAACGTTATATTACGGTACAAAATTTTATTATTGCAGCGAAGAAGCTAAATCGCTTGTAAAGTTTGCAGCGCGTTAGGGTGGGTCGTGAGAAAAATGGTTCCAAATATTAAAGAAAACGATTTAGGGAACGTACAATACGCGCAATACGAACGCAACTTAAAGTGCCCAGTTTTATCGCCGGAAAAAGAAAAAGGATCGAGGTTAAAAGGAACCGATATACTTTACTCACCTTTATAAAGCCTGTTACGATTTGTCTTCTCTCATATCGCGTATTCCCCTTACGAAATCCGATTTCTTGTTTAACGAAAAAAGTACATTCTCTTTATTACGAATTGGACCGCCGACCTCCGAAGGAATTACACAACGTTATCGCCTCTTTCGTCCTATAATCTGCGGTCACTTAATTTTTGCGCCACTTTATTTCCCCGGATTGGCCTTACAACCGCTGCAAAAGTGCCGCGGCCCTCTCTTTTTGCACTCCAAGTTCCGTAATGCGATCGAGCCGGTACATTCGCCAACAATGGCATTGCAGTTGGCTTTTCTCGCAATGGAATTCGAGCCGCATCGATACTGCGGGGAGAATCGCATCTAGCACTCCCGCAGCTTTTGCGAAGTGCATCCTGAATCGATTGACGTTCACCCGACGTTCGCAAACAGAATGCTCGCTCGCCGACGGTTAGATTCGTTTCATCCTGCGTATATCCATCAATTTGAGCGGCCCATAATCGCTCGCTCGCAAATTCCCTTCATGCACATTAGCGCGCGCTTATACACGCTCGCGATAATCGTACCTCTCGCCTCTTATATTCGCCAATTGTGCGTATATTGGTAACGAGAATTAATTGATCTTTATTTCATCATCGCATGATTAATCTCAGCTTTGATTTTCTATTATTGTATCGTCAATTCTTATCTTAAAGGCGATTGTGTGTAAACACGATGTTAAAATTGCACATAAAGTTTGCCGAGGAAACGGTATGATAATTTCGCTAAACGGCGAGCGCACTATGCTAGGTGGAACGAAAGGGGCATATTAATTCGCGTCATCAAACTTTCCTCAACGAGACAAACGGGTACGAGATAGGCATCTCGTACGACGGTAGCTAATTACCAGTATATTGTTGCCGCCGGTACACCGTGTAGATCACGGTGACTTGCGAAATCCGAATCAGCCCGACCAGCACGAAGAGGACGCTCTGATTCCTCAAGCAATCAGAACATAGCGATCGGCGGCGTTCTCTGGCCCTGAACGGGTTACAATCGGGAGCCCGAAACCCGTCGGCCGGCAGTCGGCTGTAATTTCCCGAGGTGAACTAACGGACGCATCAAATCGGACATCGAGACGATATCGCGCGATCGACGGCGAGCGCGAGGGTTACGCGAGATAATCGGTGAAACTCGTCGGCCTCCGAGTCCCTCGAGAATTGGCGATAATGCGCCAAGAGTGCCGAGGATACCTTTACGACACCAATTCCTTCGGGTGTTCTCCCCGGCACTCGCGGGGATATTTTACTGCCGGTCGCGCGCAAGAGCCGGTCGCCCGCGGATTATCGAGCCTGGCGCGAGCGAGTGGTGCACGCTTCGTACACATGGTTTATGGATCGTGGCCCATACTCGGATGCACGGCGGATACTCGGCCAATGGAACGTTCCGAATAATACTTTTAGTTGTACGTTGGCCGATCAACAAAAATCAGGACGAAACCAGATCGTTTTTAGCAGCGGGCTATCAGATTCCACCGGGCGGTCACGGATCGTCGTCCGATTCGACCGAATTAAATTATGGAGTATTGACTTGATCCATTTTCCAGAAACAAAAGTCGAGATTATCCGTCCCAGTACGTCGTAGATTCGATTTACCAGACCTCAAATTTATTTCTGTATCAACTGGATGAGACAATTCCGATTTTGCGAAAGAGAGCGCCAGGGATATCGAGAATAAAAGATTTCGTTTAAATCGCCCGGAAAGCGAAAATAACAGTGTTCATGCGGATATTAAATGTCATGTATAAACGTACGGGTTAAAAATAATATAATTTAGGAAGTATCGACTTGATCCATTTTCCAAAAACAAGAGTCGAGATTACATTTTCAGCATCGTGGATCAAATTTGCTAGAAAACGCTACATTAAAAGTACACATAAAATAAAATGCATAATTAAAATGGGTGTAACGTGTAATAAACAAGAGATATATTTTCCTGCAAATAATAAAGTTAAACTAAGACTCATGCGTACACCTTCCTCTCATAAAGAAATTAATTAACTCACAAAGTACAAAGGGTGTAAATTAATTACATATGACCTAATTACACGTGGCAGTGTCTACAGTCTACATCTCGAACTCATCTTACCGCTATTAACGAATCAACATACTTTCGCATAATATATTAATTTTTACATAAAGCATTAAACGCGACCATCTAAGCTTTAATCGCCCCTGGTCACGATCATATTTAGCCGCAAATAAATGCGACCACCGACGGTCGTCCTTAGGACCTTGTCCTAAACCCGAGTGGTAGACCGCTGAGGGCATTGTGGTGTACAGATATGCGGCATTACTGGACATTACTAGGCATTTTTCGGGTACATTAGTTTGGGTATTGGGCCTTGCTATTATAAAAATAAAATAAGATAAAACAAGGTAGATAAGAAATAAAACAGTGAGCTTATTGTCAACCCAACTGGCAAATTTTATTAAATTCGTTACAACGTTTCGACCTTACTCCAGGTCCTTTTCAAGTAACAATACTGCAAATGAACAAAATATAAGAGATTAAAATTATTAATTAGCCATCTAGTAAAAGTCAAAGAATAAATTGACGAACCAAATAAGAAAACAAGACAAAATTTCGTAGACAAACGAGTCATCGTCAAGCTAAATAAGATGAAATAAGACAAGATAAAGCAATGCCCACGGGGCATTAGTAGGCATTGGTGTATGTACATGATTTTAGTCAGCGATTTACCCCTCGCCTAAACCCTAAGAGACACAAGAAGCGCAGGGAATCGGACGACGGTATCCGATCGAGAGCCCCGCCGCTCTCGGTTCTCGCGTGAACGCACGAGCGGCACGAGGAGAAAGTTTCTTGAAGCCAGGAAGTGAAGTAGGCCACGACTTTGACCGCTCGCAAGGTCCATACTCCCGTGGCACGCCACTTTGTAGTGTCTTGTTCCTTCTCCGGCCTACACACCGCTTGTGCGTGCGTGCGTGCGTGCGTGTACGCACGGTACGTAAGTCGCCGCGATCATCCGGCGGTGTGGTATGCGGATCATCGACAGAGTTCCACCGTCTCGATATTCTCCGCAGGGTGGCCCAGAAAAGGTGGAAATCAGTAGCAGGAGCGTATTCTTTGACGAACGTCCAGCCGACTTTCCCTTGGCGGAAATTTCAACCGAGCCTCGATTACAGAGTGGCTCCTCATT